GTTTCACCAGTCTTCAAATTCAAGATCAAGCAGTAATAATTGTAATTTCAACTGATGATGATATATGCCTGTTAATTCACTTTTAATCAAAATAGGTGTTTCAGTTGCCTGATGTATTTAATAGTTTAATGTAAGCTGCACCACAAATTAGTAAAATTAAGAAAGTTGTTCAGGTGAGCCGCTTGGTTGCACCAGCGGTACAAAATCATCAACAAACCAGAAAAAGAAGGCGTGGTGAGGTGGCAAATCCAGCAAATACATTGGACGGTTTAGTTGCCAAGAGAGCCGACGATATTGGGGCCTCTGATTCGTTGATCAAGCGATACTTAACTGAAAATGAGGCAATTGAATCACCGTCTGATGACCAAGAGCTTAAGGTTTTTTCAGCTGCGTGTATTCAAATACCTTTTTCTTTACAGCCCCGGAAAAGAAGACAATATGTATTTTGCCCACTGAATTTGATATAATTTTGATTCTGTGACAACCAGTTTAAACAGTATGCATAACATTTTAGCGCATTGAAACGGATCCTGATGTTTCGACACGAACTTGTTCGATATGTGGCTATCAGGGAAAATGGGTCTCTGAAATGATTCGTCATAAAAGAGTTCACACAAACGAGCGACCCTTCAAATGTAAATATTGTTCCAGGACAAGCAAGTGGAAAGCGGACCTTATTAGACACGTTGCCAGTATCTTTTTTTGTCTATTCTCTTGCAATAAAGTAACCTCTATAATCAGAAACTTAATGCTATTCTCAATATTGGTAGCTAATCACTGCTGTAAACTGCCGTTGCGTAAATTTATTGTTTTGCTTAATTTTAAATACATTTAGAAACTCATGGTATTCGTGTGGTTTCAAAATATAGTCGCAGCAAAACGTTTGATGCTTCGGCGACGGGGCTTCATGAACTGAAGGACAACAAACCGGAAGTCTTACAAGCTCAACCAAACGTTACGACGCATACAATCAACGTAAAGGTTAATTCAGTTTTTAATTCAGTTTATTCATAAATTGAAAACCAAAGCGTAATATCAACGGTTCATTACAGCGGTAAATCAGGGTTTAAATAATAAAAAGAATTTTGCGACTTTTAGTCTTTTTTTTTTAATTTGAAAAGATTATTCAGCATTTTAGCCACTACCCACGTCTGTAATAACAACTGCACCGCCGAAGAAGGATTCAACTGTTAAAGTAGAACAAAGTTCTGAAGATAAACCTAATCAGGAACAATTGCCAGTAGCATACCGATGTGTACTTTGTTTGTTCGAACAGGTCAGATGTTGTTAATGACTTTACTATAAGCAGTTTTCCAATATCCAAACTACAACGACTAAGCAGTATAAATGAATATTTCTGTCAATAATTCAAGGAATCGATATTGGTTCTGATGAGTCATCTCCGTAACGTCCATAACGCGGCACCATATGAGTGCCACGTTTGCAACGAATGCTTTCCGGATGCTGAAACTGCTATGGGTCATTTCACATCAAATACAAAGTGTTCTCGCACGGATCTTTTGGTTAACATCGCGCCAATTTATGCAACCCAAAAAAGTATCGTCCTGCTGTGTACAATACTCGTTGATATATACTATTTCAGTAACATTGCCTGTCGAGCAGTGTCTGTTAATTTGACGTCATAAAAGTTTGAAGAAACAAAAAATTGGATAAATAAAACTATTATTTAAAAACTGACCGAAATTAGCTTTGAATGCTTGAATTTCAAAAAGTTTTTATCACTTCAGTTATAGAGTCGTCTCCCGTCTCTCTCCTTGGAACAACTATGGTCAATAGCACTCAGGAGCTGTTGCGACGGTTGATGACACCTGTAACCAACAATTCACTCTTACCATTGATTAACCAATTGCAAATGACTGCTGCAGTAGCAAATTTCCGAAATTCTTTAACCGCACCATCGTCAGACGTTGGCAGCTCTGATTCTAGCATAACTGAAGATTTTGAAGAACAACGCTCAGAATCTTGTGATAAATGCCCTTATAAGGGTGACGCAGATAGTTTCCTTGCTCATAAAAAAGGCCACGAAATTCCGAAAGGTATACTTATGTAGCGTAAGCAAAAATTGAAAGAAGTGTGAAAGCGAAGGGTAATCGTAAAGTGAAAGTAATCAATTTTAGGCCTCTTGAACTACAAATGTGCATTCTGCGACTGGTTCGGCAAGAAGAAAAGTGCCATAGAAGAGCATATGAAAGTTCATACAAAAAATCCGCATCTTTACATGTCAGAAGTGGAAAAAAATTTAATAACTCCTGTGACTTTGGCCAAGTTCCATCTTGAAGCCGAAACTTCAAGTCAAACGACACTGCATTCCAGCACAGCAAGACCGATTGCGGAACTAGCTTCGAATAGTGTAATTAAAAGTGATGAGGTGCATGGTGTATACTTTTATAATCTGTAACTTTTTCATCTACACTTTTTGAAAAAGTTCCTCGTCAATTGACAATTGTGTTTTATCCTACTTGCACTCACAATTTGGTGCGTTTATCTGATAAGCTAATGCAAGCAATCAGCATACTATTCCAATATGTTTTAGGTGTCTGCTCCAGTTTTGCCAACATCGACGTACGATTTAGCAGCAGCACTTATTGCTTTGAAACAACGAACTGACATAGCATCATTAGTAATCATTTTATCACTCTAAAAAACATCAGTAAATATTTCTTAAATCATACTAAATGGCATATAATTATTATTGATTTCTAGCTGCCTCTCCACGCTCTGGGAGCTATAGCAAATCTTCCAAATACTGCTCCAGCTCTGCAGACAGCATTCTCACCATTATCAGCAGCGTTAGCTCAGATGTCTCCATCATCACCAGAAGAAGTTTCTTTTGCCAGCCAGAATGTCAGCCCAAAAACAGGTGTACCAGGTCTTACATTATTCAACAGTAACGACCTTCCTCTAGCCACTTCTTTGGCAGTCACTGCCACTGTTCCGCCTGCAGAAGACAATCTTGAACCGCACAGCCCAACAAATTCAACTGCATCTAGTGAGGAAACAAATTCTACAAAAACATCTTGGAAGCATGCGTGTTCCAAATGTGAAGCAGTTTTCAGTGAAGCATTGCAGCTTGAGCGCCACAATAAATTTCATGGTGCGAATTTAGAATTTGAGTGCCACTTTTGCGACTTTTCAGCTCCAAGTTCCGAGGAACTGTCAGACCATCAAAATGGACATCATAATCGCTTACAAGCTAATCCACAAACGTCGTCGATTCATAAGACCGACGATGATGAGATTGTTGATGTTGAAAATGTTGAAAACACCGAAAATACTTTTTAAACTGAGCAAATCTATTTAAAAAGTCATTCGTGCGTTTTGCCTTGTTGCGCTTCTTTCCAGGTTTATTTAAAACAAGTCTTAATAACAACACATCTTCACTTCTATTTACATCGTCAGGAATGCACTCCTACTGATCTGTGATTGCTGTTTTCGCATTTATGTTGGAAAATACTGTCGTCACCTATATATTTAAAACTGTTTGCTGCTCTTAATCATATAAAAGCATAAGGGCAACTTTTAGGTTTCCTCATTTATATAGTTTTTTTTAATTTACCAGCAAACCAGTCTAATCAAAATAATAATATCAACTCTCTGTCGTTAAAGATCTATCTCTCAAAAGCTGTAGGTCGTACTTTTCCTCTATTTCCTGACAAAAAAAAGTTTTATTACTTTAACCAGCAAAAAATTTTAATGAATTTAAGTCCGTTTTCCAACCCAATGAAATTAGCAAACTGTTAACTTTGTTACGTGTAACTGATTTTTATTTTGAATTTTTTATTTTACTTTTATTCAACCTTTACCTGAATTTATTTAATCCTGCAGTGGTCTCTTCTTTTTTTTTTTTCTTAAGTTGTTTCTACTTCTTCTCCTTCTTGTTCTTGTTCTTCTGCTGCTTCTTCTCGTTTCACTTGTACTTCATTGACTTTTTCTCATCATTACTTCGCTGCGCCTTCGTTTCGGTTTATAAACAACTAAACAATACGAGTGAAGTGTATACTGATACCTATCCATGGCATCTAAATGAAATGTCTAAATAATAACGACAAAGCATAAACATCATTATTCGGACTATGAGTATTCATCAGTTTATAATTTTATTCAATCATTAATCTGAATTTATAACTTTCAGATATGTCTATTTTGTTCTTTTTATGTCACTTTTTCTGGACTTTTTCTCGCTTGACCCTGGTTCTCTTAAATCTCAATGTAAGAACAATTACGATCAGCATTACTTCTTTTCCCATTTTCTGATATTTTTGTTAAAAGAGCTATTAATGCTTTTTATGTTTATGATGGCTTATAAGAATAAAGGTGCAAGTACTTTCACTGCTGCAGTATTTTGAAAATTTTTTAAATAATGTTAAACAAGTAACTCCCGATGCTGTAGAACTTCGTTGTCAAAAAGACAAAGAAAAAACAAGTATATATCAGCGACCTTCTTTCTCATTGTGTAATAAATGACCATTTATTACTGAAAAGTGCATAGTATGCCCAACATGTTCTAGGCTTTGCCCTACGTTGAATGCCTTCATTTAATACAGTTTTCATCCAATGTTTCATTTAAGTCAGCCAGCATCACGTTTTTTTCAAGACAGTTACTACCATGTACTTTGAAATCTTAAATAAAGCTTTTTATTTGCTTTGCAAATCAGTTTACTAATCCTGCTAATAATTAGTTGCAAAAACATTTAATCATATGTCTAAAAATCTCTTGCAATTTAACTCGATGTCATGTCGTCACCACTGAAAGGAATAAGTCTCAAGAGCGGAACATATTAGCCATAAATAACAGCAAACAAATACGGCTGACCTTGTTTTAAAATACAAAGTAGTCGTACTCTCTACACAATCAGATTAGAAAGAGATATCACTGCTGGTCTGAAATTCATTCACAAAAATACCGGAGAAAAATGTTCTACCACTTCTGTTAATATGGAGTGACAAAAAACCACTGGTGATCTGTGTCCTCATAATTAAAACATGAATAAGACTGCTAACCCATTTTTCCTTCAAGGAAACCTTATTCATTTTATGACGACTCAACAACTGCTGTCTATACTTATTGAAATACGCTGAGTCACTAAACATGGAGCTTTTAAAAAATGCCAAAACCCTAGAATATCATAATTTTTTAGTTTATACGAAAATTTACCAAATAAGCTGTATATTTCCGTAATCCAAGCCAAAGTTGTCACTGCATTAAATAATTCAGATTCTGCTCTATTAAATCTCTAAGATTTATTGAAACCGCACGCGAAAAGCAGCACTTTCCGTACATAATTCGTCTATGAAAGTCAGTTTTAGACCTGGTTCTAAGCGCCGATTAGAATTACAACTCAGCTGTTCCTGCCTACTACACAACATAATGGCATTTGATTTATATCAATACCGAGGCGTGGACCAAAATAACTTTCAACCTAGAAAAAGGCCATTTTGTAAGCAGTAGAAAAGAACTTTATCAAAATTTCTAAACTGCCTTCATGGTTTGAAAAGATTTTAATGAGCATCGTCTATGTGTCTCCCAGTAATATACGCAAAAGCGCAACTCGTTATAACATATTCTCTATTACTATTTATTTGTTTTATATAAAATTTCCTTTAATTAACAAAAACCTTCAGCAGCAGAGCTTTCATCGCTGTCGCGGATGCCAGCCGGTACCCCCAAAGATTTGGTAGCCCTTTAATTAGTTATCAAGTTCAAAAAGACTGACATAAATGCTCATTTTAGTACAATATGTAAAATCGTTGTATCAAATTTTCGAAACTTGAATACAAAATATGCAGTTAAAGCTTATTTGACAAAAAACAATGTTTTTGGGATGGCCTTATGCAATACGTCAAACAGGAATTGTTCTTAGAAAAAATTATCGATGAACCAACCAGGGCTAGAAATTTTGCTTCAAATTAAAAGGTCTACAACAGCTCTTGTAAGGGTCGAAAACTGAACAACTGAATTTGAAATAAAGTAGACATCCAAATTTTACGGAACATTTACTTTATGATTAATTCTGTTACTTTTTCCACTAAAACTCATTTATTCAAAAAGTCAGACCTGAATTCCCGTAACCAACTAAGTGCAGCTGCAGTTTCCGCTAAAGACACGACAATGCTTACGAAAAATCAAAAAACTACGAATATGAAATACAACTGACGTTAACTAAGTCATATTAATAGAGCAGTACCTGATGCAGATTAAACCGACAAATTTTAGTCTCAACTAAATCAAAGGTATTCTTGAGATCTACAAATATATTCACTTCTAAATTCCGCTGTCCACTGCAGAGAAGAGCGCCTGGATCGGTTAGATTCCAACACACCTAATATTTTTTGTATAAATTTTCTTGACAAAATCAAGTTTTGAAAAAACAAGTTTTTATGTGAAGTTATTTTTCTGTGTTTCTTTCTGTGAGTGGACTGTGTGATAAACTAAAGGCATCACCCTTTACAGAGGGAGTACAAGGCACACGGACTGAATTCAGTACAAATGGAAAGAAACCTCTCAATAGCGATACAGAAACGGCGAGTTCTCCGGTTTTCAGTATGATTGAAGAGGCTGTGGATTTGAAGCTGTTAAGTGGAGAGAATTATATATACGAATATCAAGCCGTTTTAGCTAAACGTGTTACCATTAATTGATAGGGTTAGGAAGGTCATGCACAGCAAGGCATGGAAAAGTTCCAATACTCCTTGCTTGATTTAACCAGACTTTTATTATTCATTTTCACTGTTCTGTTCTAGGAAAGCCCATGGTTCTGTCAACAAATCATTACTTTCTATTATTTTCCCAAATCCTTAAACTGATTTGATCGGGCGTTAATGTCCCCAATGCTGTAAGCATTACTTAAAAATCTCTTTGGTTAAAATTCATCAGCTGCTGTTTTGCCTTACTATGTAATAAACTGTAGGAATTGTTCTATTAACAGGTCTTGTCTACAGTACTCACTGTATACGTTGTTACTATGAAGTGGTTGGCGTGCTTATTATATATGATGCTTCATCACTGTGCCATCACAACTAATAACCCGCTTGGCACTGTGCCATCGGAGCTACTTCCCATATATGGTTTCTTTTGAGACCTCAGCGTTTTAAACCTTCCGCTGCTTGTTTTCTTGCTCTCACCCAACTAGTGGAAGGAATGCTTCTGGCATTGTGGTCGAGGGGTCAAATTGGACAGGTTGTTGGTGGTACCTGGCTTCCTTAATTGGCGCTCGTTACGTCCTTAACTGTTATTTGGCAACAACAATGTTATCGCCTTCGATGACAATATCTCGATTTATTTGCATTGCCGGATTGCTTTCTTTGCTTCATTGTGCCTACTCGGCAGCACAGGTGGGAGATCTTATTACCTGATATTGAATCCGCATTTAATGCTCACTTTAGATGTGGTTTTTTAGTTTTTCCTTCTAAAAGTTCACTATTAACTGGGAATTCCCGTTCATTGTAGCTTTCTCTGCCAAAGCAAGCATTAGGAGTCAATGTGCTCTTATTTTAGCATCGTTTTTATTTGCGTTTAACAGAACAGCCGTTTACTCTGCTGCCGACCGATTTAATTCTGCAAACCCTTATAAGTCTGATAGCTGTGGTTTATGGAGCATCATACTTTGCTGGAGATTTTCTTCCCGTTCGTTCTGACCTACAGGTTCCTTATGTTAACTGACTTTTCTCTTTGTTTCTGATAATAGTTTTATGGCCAATTAATAAAAGATTAATCTCGAACATTGCGATTTCTTAGTACTTTGTGCACTTCAAATTCCACTACAGTTCTCGCGACCGGCAACCTTTCTCACAAACGTAGAATTGTTATAATTATTATTTTCTTCCAGAGACTCGGTTCTACTTCCTTTGAAACTAAGTTTTCAGAATAGATCTAAATCATGGGACACTGTTGGAAATTGCCCTTCTTTTTATACATTCGATCACCGCGCAAGAGCGTTGATTCCGGAGTATAGTGCGTTTGACAAAGAATTTGTTCAGGGAACTAGACAGGTTTCTAAACTGGTGCCAGTTTGGGTCTTGCTTGCTCTCCTTCTAAAGCATATATTTCATACTTTTCCTTTTCAGGCGACTTCGAAAACCACTAAATGGATGTATGGTGCAGCAGAATACTTAGAGGATTAGTTTTTAGTCATATTGTGTGGAAGTTCCGCGAATACACCCTGACGTGGTCCTTCAGCTTCTTCTCTGCAAGTTTTTGTGAGAGGAACAACGTATAAAGTCTCTGTTAGACACAGCTCTGTGGTACGATGCTCTTCCACCTGTAAATTAGCCTCTTTATTCATGCAAGCCTCCCTAAAGTTGAATCTGTACTTTTTAATGTTCGTTTCACTTTTCACCGTATCTTCTTCACCTTCTTTTGGTTATTTATGATGTTTGTTATTAAAACATAAAGCACAACGGGTATTCTTCCGACTCAGCTTCTTAATGATCATAAAATGAGTTCGATCTTTTTCCAACCAACAGTAGTACTGTTGTTGATAAATACCAGCCGTATTGAACTACCTACTTCAAATGGGCCGTTTTGAAGTCATGGAGATTATATGAGAAACCGTAACGTCACAAAAAATGGCAGTTTAGCAACCAGTTAGGAGCATAGCTGAAGTTTACATATATAACACTAGTAGAGCTACATGTAGGAAAACAGAAACAGCACAGTTGCAAGAACGGCAAAAAAGCTCTCTGCACTTAAGACTGTTTCTGTTAAGTCTGCCGGAAGGATAGCGGTAAACGAACAAATAAATACTTTTTTTTGGTCGACAGTTTGCTATGAAGGCCCTGTACTACCGTTGCTTTGAAAAGTGGCTTAAATTTTGACTTAACACATCTGGAAGAGACGCGTTGGAATAATTTTCACCGGGCATGGACGTATAACCAGCTGACTGGCCGTTGATCACCTAGGGGAAAATACCACAAAAATAGGCCACATGCTTCATAGTTCTCGTTATCTTTTTCAGGGCGGATTCAGCCATCATTAACTCGTATGCATTGAATCTTTTATGTTAATTACTTCCAGCAAGAAACCCTGTCAATTTATCTACCGCTGGGAAACAGAAACGGCTCTTCAAATAGAAAGAACAGTGACAGGGGCGTGAGGCTATGCATGTAATAAAACAGACGGAAAAATCCAAAGCTTTCAAACCGTCCAATGTTTTCAGAGAACCAGGCACCACCAACCCAACAAACTCGCCAAAATGTCATAACGTATAGTCATACAAACCCTCTCCAACCCTTTTACAAGTGCCAAACATCCGAACACTGCACATCTGAAACGAGCAGGATTACTCTCGTAAACCCCCTGAACTTACAGAAAGTATGCATAACTTCCAAGGCAATACTTGCAGGAAACATCTAAGCTTCACAATTTATAAGCTGTAAGACGCAGCAACTGCTAGAAGGGCTGGGATAACTTTGCTACACCCATTCTCCCTCATCCTCGACACCTCCTTTAACTGAACCGCTGGCAAAGATTGCTTGAAAAATGCATAAGATGCACGGCACAAATATCAAAGAAGTAACATAACGTAAAAAAACACGCCAGGAAGGCGTTGCGTAAATAGTACTAGAACAGTCTGAGAAGTACGACTGTTGCAAACGGAGAAAGATTTCTGACGCTCATCAAAGTTTGAGCTGTCACTCATGGAATGTCTACACCTGTGACAATGGAGAGTACGGCAAAAACTGTTGAAAACTTAATTTCGGCACGCCTCCACTCAAACGTATCGGCTCCTGAGGCGTACCATAACAAGCAAGTTAAGTTGACGTCATGTATAATGAAGAATAATCATGACACTATGAGCCCCAACTCTATAAAAGGCTTTCTTTCATTAGGAAAACCAGTTTAAAGGAAATCATGCCTGGTGTATTTCCTGCCCAACAGGCAATTAAAAAACGACTTCTCTTCTGCTCGCAAGCAGTGAACTGTCAACCGAATAAAGAATAAAATTTTCAGCAAATCAAAATATGCAGGAAAAGCACTATGAGTATTACGATAGCTAGCATCAGTAACTATATTGCAAAGGCAAATTTTAAGCAGTATTCATTTCCCGCTACTCAATATTCAGGAGAATAGCTGGGAAGAAAGAAAAACAGTAAAACCAAAACCATCCAATGAAACTCAACTTCCTGCAAAATGCAGAAAAAGTCGTAGAAAAGAAGACATTCACTATGATAAGATTTAACAACAACTCATGATGAAATTTGACTAAAGACGTCTAGCCGATGCGACATGTTGGGAAAACTACAGCGATGAGACCAGATGTAACTGCAAAAACGTAGAAAAACCTAAAGACTGTACCTCTCAATGAGACACTGAAATCAAAACAACATATAAATGTCATTAAAAAATTCTTAATTTTTATTTTCACCTAAAAGAAGTGGAGGGGAAGGAACAACTTCAGGCAAAATGAAACATGTCCTTCATTCTCTCTCTGCTCTCAGGATTAATGAAGACCCATAAGGAAGCAAGAGCAAGACCTGCACCACTTCCTATCGCAGTAGCACGCAAGCCATGTGCCGAACGGTAAAGTGCTCCAGCCAAAGCACCTGCGGCTGAAAAATTAAATCCGATGCAAAAGTTGCCAAAAAAAGATGGAGTGGAAAGTTGAGAATAAATATGGAAAACAGAATCGTTTCCACTTTCTATAACTTCCTTTTATAAAACTTAAAGACTAACCAATGCTATTGAAATCGTCATCCGGTCGAATTTTTCTTAACAAAATTTCAATAATAGAAAAAAGGAAGACAGCAGCACCTGCCGGTTGGGCATACCCACTACCATGCTTAACAGTAGCATTCATCATCCTTGTCACCCATGGTTTTCCAGACTGAATCATATTTCTGATGTAGTTCAATAAACTAGCTGTATATTAAGGACCATATAGCAGAGACAATAT